TGGGGCTGGCATGTGGTGCTGGGGGATTGAACCGCGGTCCCTGTGCTTTGCTTAGCTTGTTCTAGGTAGGTGCTTTAGACCACTGAGCCATCTCACCAACCCTGATTCAACTGTTCTTTTAAAAAATCTGTGACTTTTTGTTTTTAATAAGTACAATACATGAGTAAGAAAAACAGTTGACAGAGAAATGTTACAAAAACACTGTACAATGAACTAGAATGACCTCAGTAAGTGTAAATTTTTACGGGCAGCAGTGAAGGGGAAGGTGAACAAAATAAGGAGAGCTTAGCTTCCAGAAAATCATTCCTTGAGTTAGGTGTAGTGGCACACACCTGTAATCCCAGCACTCAGGAGGCTGAGGCAGGAGGATCACTGAGAGTTTGAGGCCCCCCTGGGCTACAAAATGAATTCAAGGCCAGCCTGAACTACACAGCAAGGCTTTCTCAAAAAGACAAGAAAAAAAAGAAGTGAACTTACGCTGAATAAGGACAAGGCCATGTATCCATGTTCAGCTCAAGCACTCCAGTCATGAAACCAAACAGTGCAAAATGGAACAAACTGTGGTCCTGGCATCTCCCATGTTGGTCTGGAGCCAAAAGTGAGCTTAGATTGCAAGGCTTAGTGGTAGAAGCTAAGTAACATGGCTGCAGGAATATTGACATTGGTGGTAGGTAGAAATCTCAGATCATCTTTGTTCCAATTCCTCAACTGAAATCTTCCCTGAACCTGGTTTGGCTTGGTCTTTCTTGTTTAGAAGAGAACTTAGTGTAAACCAAGTTGAAAAAACTGTATGAAGAGAATTAGGAGTCTCCCAGAAGCCACACCTGACACCTGTGCACTTTGCGCTCTTGAAGATGTACGTGGTCTCATAAAGTGAAAACATGGGCAAGAGAATCCTCATGAAGCTGGGTGCTAGTGGCTCTTTAGGAGCCATTTGGACAGAGCACAGCAGAACAGTGTGGAACATGAGCTGAACTGTATTTGTACAAAGCTCACAGAAACAAGGATGTTAATTTTGGATTCCCAAAGTTTCAGTTGGAAGCAAAAATAACTAAAATATTCAGAGTAGAAAGTAGATAAAGGGCTGGTGAGATGGCTCAGTGGTCTGAAGCACCTACTTAGAACAAGCTTAGCAAAGCACAGGGACCACGGTTCAATCCCCCAGCACCACATGCCA